ATCTCAGCCTCAAACATTTAACTTCGCCTTCAATCTGCTCAACCTGAGCTGCGCTTCTGACTGGCTCATTTTCACCCTGTTCAGTTTTAGTCCCTTTCTATAACTGTAGTTTTAAGACTTTATGTTCTATATATTTTAACTTTGCAACAATTTTCTAAACCAGGGTATTTTAAATGGGTGACATTCCTGTTAAGACTTTTAATTTTATAACTTTAGGAGAAAGAAACTAGTTATTTCTTGACACAAAATGACACAAAAACAATCAGAGTGAGAAAGCGAAATTTAAATTCTATGTATAAATCCAGTACTTAATGTATACAATATTTTGCAAAAGTTTCCAGAGTTAATTTTTGGACATGTTGCTTGTAAGCAGAAAGATGTTAGAAATCACCATTTGTCAGCAGTGTTTCAAAGTTTTAATTTTATATTTAATTAGCTTCTGCAGCATATGAACAATATCTAAAAACAATATCTAACACACACCATAAGAGAATTGGTCAGTGAAAATGATCAATTCTCTAATTGGTCATTTTCTGCATGCTTTTTTTTTTAGCAAATGGGTCTATGAAGATACAATATTAATTTTTGTTTGTCAAATTGCTACTGTGTTCCTGGTATTTTTAAAGATGTTGTTTATTGATGATCACAAATTGATAGTTTTAGTTTAGATTATTTTTTCTGCCTTAATGGTTCATATGTCAGAGTTCAGCTTCAGAAGCAAAATGAAAAGAAAAGTAATTTCTCAAAAATGGCCAAACAATGAAATGGAGAAGAGTAAAAAGGTAATCCAAAAACAGACATAACATTAGGGCCGGGACTTTAATGAAATAATGTTGATTAATTAATTACTTAGATTTTATTGCATTAAAAGTTGTAAAACAATTAATTATTGTTTTTTTTATTTATTTTTTTTATTTTATATACATAGGTTCCAGATGGAACATGAGTATTTGTGGCATACCGGTTCAATGAGTGACATTCTGACGTATAAGCTACATCCGAAATCAACGTCAATGGATAATTTCTACTTCAAGAAATGATCTAATAATAGATCTAATAATAGACCTTTCTGAGCTGGAAAGGTCTATTACTAGAAATTGAAAATGCTGCTTATTTTGTCTATATAGTCTTCAATTAAAATGCAGTTAATTAAATAAAATGCAATGAATTAATCTTAATTAATTGTGGCATGTCTGACAAACTCTACAATTAACTTTATTATTATTGTTATTTTTTTATCAAACCCCAAAAGCAATAAAAACGTCTTCTGAAACTTTGCATAAGTATAAGTACTTTAGTACTTGTACATTTTCCCCTGGATTCCTGCTTTTGTTTTGCTCTACTTCCATGTGAATTTTGTAAGTTTTGTTCTTCATTTTCTGTTAAACATTCTTTATCTACTAACTGCATCTGCCCTTCTGCTTTTGTGTCCAACTCAACCACTATGCAAGATACTTTCTTTTGTTTTCCACCTCATTATTATGTACTAAATTGTGTTGGTTCATCACGTTGTTAATGAAATATGTTGGTCTTTTAGGTTATAATACAAAATAACAATTTCAAAGGATAGGAATACTTTACAAGCCAGTTAATGCCAGTATTTATGTTAGGCTAGCTAGTTTTCTATATATGTTTGCAGATAGCAAACTAAGGTCACTGCCTGCCTCCACTACTTGAAACAAACATAGAGAATGTCCTATTTGCCCAATGGGGTGTAGAAAATAAGCTGCAACACATCTTCTGTGCTGTCAGATAAAAGAAGCCACTCAGGCTGTTTCCCATCATGCTGGGTTGATTGCAGGTAAAAAAATAAATAAAAAAAGAAGCTCTTATTTCCTCTTAAATAAGCTTTCGCCCAAGGCCTAAACCGAGAGCCTGTAGAAAAAGTGTGTTTGTGCAGAGATCTCTACAAACTGATGGTGTTTAAGTGAGAAAAGCTTGCAAGGTCACAAAAATATTTCCATAGACAGGTGCTTCAAAAACACAGAAAAACACATAAATGTCTGGGACAACAGAGCAGGGTTTCATCACGGCTATTTATAACCAACCAGACGACAGCTTAGGAACATATTTATTTTGCTGCTTGAGACCTTTGACTGAGCCTTTTGTGAAGTCTCTTCCAGCAAGCTTGGTCCTCCATCACATCACACTAAATCACACAGATGTGAATATGTATTCAGTTTTTTGAATCGGATGTTTTTTCCTTCATCTGTACTTTGTGGTCTTAGTGCAACGGACAGATCAAGATATGTAAGATATTAAGCCAGGCATTTCTACCGTATAGTTTGCACAGTCACACTAACAATTAAAACATATTTGTATTTTGTGATGTCTTTCTTGTGAATAAATGGAACATAAAATTTACACAAGCTACATCACAGATGAGCTCTTTATTCCACTGTAAATATGAACATGTAGGGTCAGAGAAAAGGAGCCTAAGAATGGCTGTGTAAGAATTGAATGGCAAGAAAAGTAGGAGGCATTCCGTGTTGATTATTGAACATTTCTGTTAAGGTCAAAGGTGGGATTTAATGAAGTACAAGTACTTCTTTATTGTATTTAATTATAATTAAATTTTTATAAGCTCATATGAACTGATAAGTAACATTGATAACTGCTGTTGGGGGCACATCGAGCGTAGCGTCACCTGCCAATGTCCCAGATGCTATTTAAGTCAATAAGAAGATTGTGTTGATTTAAACTCAGAAATTAAAGTTCATGAAGTTAATTTGACAAGAGACAAGTTGTCTAATCATTGTTTTTTTTAAGTTCATTAATCTTGAATGGTGAGTTTTAACTTAATGCTGCAAATTAACAAATAATTATTTCACAATATGCAAGAAAAAAAACTTCCTTCACCAAGTTAAAGAGCCAAATTTCTGTTATTTTCACTCACAGTATCAAGTTAAAATAACTACTTATTTTAAATTAGAATAATTTAAATTCTTCCTTCAAATTTCATGAACAAAATTTCTGATCTGATATTGAACTTTATTAAACATCACAATGTTTAGTGTGAACACAACATTATCTTCAAACTTTACAAACTGATAGATGCATTAAAATAAGTATTGGCTTAAAAACAGGCACAAGTCAGATCAATGTTACACACTGTCATCTCACTCACGGTGCAACACAGGATACAAACACATGCTGCTAAACACACTGGGAAATAGTTCCCACTTCTGTTTTTTCTCTAGTTTATTTAACTCTTGGAGGTTTGACAAAATAAATAAAAAGTAAACACAACTAACTACTGTAAGCTTATGTTCAAACTCTAAAACTCTCCAAATGTATTTGACTTAAAGAGTAGAAGATAGTAGATACAACTAAATACAGCTCAAATGTTTTACAATGAATACTTAATATCAACCAGATACTTTTGAACACATGAAACAGCAACTGAAAGCAAAGGCTGATTCTCCTGATATTCAAAAATAATTTCTAATGAATAGTTTTAAACTTTGGAGCTCATCACCTCTTACACTAGTTTGCTTACCATAACTATTAGCATACAACGACAGATGTGTTGTTAATGATGGATAACTACCAGCATTCCATAGTTTTAAACAAACTAGTCAGATTTTGCATTAAGATAAATCAAAAATTAATATATCAAAGCATTACTACATTGTATGTCATAAAACATTGTTCCAGTCAGTTTTGAAATTGGCTTAGCCATTTTTTGATAGTTATTTAAGTGGATAAAATATATTTTATGACTCATCAAGAAAGAGTTTACAGAACATAACCCTATGTATTAAAATCAGCAGCAGCATTTCTGCAAAGTTTGTTTTTGTTTTCTGTTTTTAAAACGGAAGCAGAATGAGCCTTTACTGTAGTGGCAGAGCAGGAAGAACTTAGAAAAAGGGATTAGGCAGCTTCCTTCTGGGCTCAGAGGAGAGAGACTGACCCATACTGCTGCTGCATTAGGTCAGGACAGCGTGGTCACTGCTTCCGCCTCATCCAGCAGTCTACAAAAGCACTGCCATCTACTCAAACCGTGCTGGATTCATCTTGCAGCACAAATCAAACATATTCCCACATGTGTGAACCCCTGCTTACCTTCACCGCCTCCGAGTGAGAGACAGAGTCAAACACCGAGTCGTTCGCTGCTACAATCTGGTCCCCAACCCTCAGTCCTTCCCTCTCGGCCGATGAGCCCGGCTCCACCAGCGACACGTAGATCCCCACGCCGTGCTCTGACCCCCCGCGGATGCTGAAACCTAGACCCTCGTGGCTCCTGGAGCGCGTCAGGGTAACTTGACGCACTTCTCCGAAGAGGCCCTCGCTGAAGAGCGGGGCCATGGGAACAGTCGGTTCCGGACAAGTCGTCGTGAGAGGCTGCTCGCAGACTGAGCTGATATACGACTGCAGAGTAGAATCGCCCTCATCTCCGAAGCTTTCCGCGCTGCCGTTGCTGGGCAGCAGGTCTGTTTTCAGGTAGAGCCCCTCGGAGGTGTACTGGTCAAAGAGGAGCTGGTCGGACCTGGGGATGACGAGACGCAGCATGGGCAGCAGCTGTCTCTTCGCGGACGTGTTGAGAATCACTTTGAGAGTCTGGACCAGGTCGTAAACGTTGCGTTTGGCGTGGTAAACATTTAGACAGTGGATAAATTGCTCTCTCTCCAGGTCACTTAGCAGCACATTGAGTGTGTTATGGAGCCTTCGGACATTTGTCGAGAGCGCACGGCTCCCTACGCCGGCCGAGTTCACCGATGTGTTGGGCGAAGCGCGCTCCAGATCAGCGCTCATCCTACCGCATAACGGAGAAACAGCGTGCCATGCAGTGCTGTGGAAGGATCGGGCATTTGGTCCAGCGCCGATCACTTCACATCTCCCCCCAACAAATTTAAACAGCTCCCCGAGTTCCAGGCATCAACAGGTGGCCGGTAATATATGTGCGTAATGACGCTGGAGTGCGCTCAGTTTGTCACGGCAAGGAACACATTTTCCCATCAGAGGTCTACGTTTCTCCAGCTCCGAAAACAGGGCATGTTGCTGTTCCGTCCTCTCTTTACTGCATGCTCAACACGAGCTGGACCGGGGTTCTGAACGGGACGCACCTCTACGACTTTGATTGTCCGGTGAGATGGATTATTTCAAACACAACAAAAACCGTTTTCATTCATGTGAATCTTCAATAAGCTTATTTGAAAAACCACATAACCATATTCTAACAATGAATATCTCTACGAAAAGAGAATGTGCTCCTTTCTGCGACGAAGCTCTCTGTGAGCGCAGCTGGAGGAGAGCGCAGAACGGGTCGCGCTCTGGAGTCTTGGTAGGAAATGACGCAAGTTTGTGTGGCCATGGCAGTGCGTGTTGCTTGGAAACTACTATACACCACTCACCAATCTCTAAATGAAGACTGAAGCTAATGTCACACAGCTGATTGAAAGTACAGCAACAATATGAGCTTTAAAAACAGACCAGAATAACCAGAATAAGTGATAATGATGACGATGATGATATTGTTATTCTATTATATAATACAATTTTATCATGGCATTCATGTCATTCATATTATTTATCTCCCCAAATACTATAAAGTCCAATCAGAGTCACTTGATCATACTGCATGATGTTAATTGGGTAAATCCAACACATCCATGTGGAAAGAAACGACTCCCTTGCACCAGAACCTGGCTCAATGGAAGTTGTCAAGGTTCAGATCTGGAAACAGTGCAGAGTCAGCTCTTTTAAAATTTCACAATGAAATCAGCCGGGCACCTGATTCTACATGTCCAGCTGTACTGGAACTGCTGGAACCCAGAGAGGGACCACAGAAAATTGGATCCTTGGAAAATTCAGTGAGTACGTCACAGAATTTTCCATTCTTTGCTTGTCCTGTTTTATATCTACATTCTGGCTTCAGGATCAGTCAAAGTGAAACAATCTGTTTTTTTCACCGCTCTGCTGATAATGTACGAAACTTTTCTACCATTTTAACCCAGTGAAGTCGCTAACTCTCTGTTGAGCTAATGAGATGACTGTCATAGCTTGAAGTTATGACAGTTCAAAGATCTTTTGCTGCTAAACACCGATGAACACTGATGAAACACTGCTAAATTTAAGCTTTTTGACCTTACTTGAAGCATAAAGTGAACAATCTCAGAGTCACTTTTGATAGCTGCTAGGAATTTGATTTATTTCTGTTTTACAGACTCCATTTCTAAATTGTTTTAAATAACTTCTTTTGGTGAAGGAACAGGGAATGGTGTGCTGACCCTAGGAAGCAGAAATGAGTGTGGAGAACAGAACAATCTCATTACAAGAAATTTATTGGTTGAATCTTTGTGCACTGAGACAAACAAGTTCTGCAAAAGATACAATAAAATAACAGATCTAATGTAATGGGTAGATTGAAAAAGTCTGCAAAAAACAGCAAAAAAAAAAAAAGGAAAACATCCAATTCAAGGAAATACTTTTTATAAGCACCTGTAAATCTGTGTGCAGCTGTAAACCTGTAAAGCAAGAGATTCCACAGTCACTAAACTGGCCACTGTAATACAATCTATGAGCGCTACTAAAAACAAGTCTATGCCATGGACTTTTTACTGGATCACAGTCTGCTCATTCTCCTGCACCTCGATGTCCAACTGGGATGTAAAAAACTGAGCAACTACTGAGCAACTATGGATAACATGACTGTCTCACTAGAGTAGTGTTTCTGAATCCCGGTCCTCAGGATCCATTGCCCTGCATATTCTAGGTGTTTCCTTTCTGCCAGACACCTGACTTGAATAAGTGGGTGATTAACAGACTTCTGGCATGCAGAGGAGGTCATGCAGTCATTTTAATCAGGTGTTCTGGAACAGAGACATATCTAAAACACGCACAACTGATGTGGAGGTTCACTAGTTGAATTCAGGTGAAAGTGTAACCTCTTCACCTTTCAGCTTCCCTCCCTACCTCATTTACACACATGTTGTCTTCTTCTGATTTTCAGTTCAGTTCACATCATCCTTACCAGGCTGCTCCCCACAGATGCATATGGATGCCGTCACAATGCCACAAGATAGTCAATGGAGTCTCCTTCCTCTAATCAGCCTATAGTGATTCTAACCAGAGACTGAGAGCTGATCCCAGATGCATTCCCTATCACCTCCCAGAAGACATCTGTCACTCTGATCACACACTTCACACTCTTCACCACTATCTCCCTGGTTGTACATGTCCTGCCCGCCCTCACATATTTCTTTCCCACACAGAACTTCCTCACACTTCAACATTCATCTCTTGGCATCTGCTGCCTCTGGAGTCATACAGACACAAAGCAGCTGCTTCTCACCTTTTCCATCAACATTGTCAAGGCAACCACCACTTCAGCAGAAAGCCATGCTACTGCTCATTATCTAGTAACTGTATACCCTCTAAAATATGTCAATCTCATATGGTTTTTAGTAAACTGGCCATCACTTTCCACTCTTTCCAACCTCTTCATGGTATGTCTCATCACTGTCACTCCTCTGTATTTACTCTAACTCTTCACATCACCCTTGAGTAGTTCAATGAATGTGAACTACTCAACAACATCTGAGTGGGATGGGACTATGGCTGCTCCGTCTGGATTCAGGTGACAGTGGGTGTCTGTCTGTCATCTTTTAGCTGATCAAGCTGCATTATAGCAGTTATCATCTCCCTGTCAAACCCAACCCTGAGGCTATTTTTAAGCATCTATTATTAGAATGCCAGAGTTTGTCTTCCTCCTCTCGACAGTTAAGAGCCTCCTCTGTCTGTCCGATTCACAGAAGGAGACTGCGAGGAGAGATACTTGTCACTTGCCAGGAATCTGACTCCTCACTATGTCAGCACAGCTGGGCCTTTTAGGAGCTTTATAAGTCAGGACTTTTGAAAATAAAAATTACCATAAATTACAGCATTTCAAATCATCATGCAGTTTTCTTGTTGCTTCAACAGATTTAGTTTACTAAATGTTTCTATTGCATTTTACTTATTTCATTATGTGTTCATTTCTAAACCTTTGTAATGTGAATAGCCATTTTCTCAGTATTTATTATATTTTTACATGTCAATGGGAGTGGATTTGATGTTGATGTTGACTGATCCTCTAATTTTTCTAAGTTATCTTTAAAGAAGTTGGCAAACTCTTTGCAAGCCCTGGCAGAGTGGAGTTCAGATGCTACAGTCATAGAAGCGTTAAGAGGTTGCAGCAGTTGTAGCTACCCAGTCTGTGTCTCCCTCCTTAATGGGGAGATGGTACTCCATGCTGCAGACAGATCCATATGGCACAGGTTCGGCTCATTATTTTTGCAACTCAGTCTTGACAGGGCTTCCTTTCTCTCCACACCAAATAATTAATTTTAGTCTGGTTTACTATAGTCTGGTTTGTCTGTTTTCTCACTGCCCTCAAACTTCTGGTCAAATATTCTATCATCACATTTTACTCTGGCACTTTCTTGTGCCAAATACACTCTTTGGTATTCAATTTGATATCAGATCATAACATATGTTTGCAGACCTGGATGCTTATTTTGGAAGAAGAGGCTTACGTTTTCAACACATCTTATTACAGATATATTAAGAATACAAGAGATTGTTATTGCATGTAGAACAGAATCAGTATCTACAGTTTTAGTGGTGCTTTCCTTTGTTTTAGTAGAAAAGTACAGTTTTTTTATGTCACTGATGCTATAAAGGTTAATTTTTACTGATGACTGTTTTTTAACAATGAAATAATATTATTCTCTGAAGTTACCTAAATCCTTAATGTTGTGTTTGTGCAATTAGATTCTCTTCATTCTTCATAACCTCTGTGGAATCTATGACTTTAGCGAATGGGTATAAACGAGCTATTGCTAAGAAAAGAAGTGGGAATTATACTAGTATTACTGGTCAAAATGATTTGCTTGGGGAGTTCAGTCCTCAAGGAAATTTTAAACTTTTTGCAACATTGAAAATAAACTCCTTGAAGTTCTCAGCAGACTGGCTCAGGCAACTTGCTGATGGGGATTGAGACCACTATGTTGGAGAAGATACTCGCCTCTATTCTAAACTCATTTAGTCTTTTTCTGGACTGTGGACAAACAAAGTCTCCTATGGAGCATAGAATGAGAGGTTGTACATATACAGTTTGTACCAGTGACGTGTGGTGAGGTGCTGGTGAGGCATTGACTTATGACTTAGACACCATGCATGTTACTGGACCTATGGAAATTTCGCGCATGCATACAACACTGGGGGGCAAAAAGACTAATCTTTTACATGTCATCCATAGCCGCGTTAACTCAGTGAAACTTAAAAATGTAG